ACCATTTGCTTAGACACTGTGTTCAGATCCAAGACTGTGTGCAAAAAAAAAAAAAAAAAAGCTCTGCATGCTGAAGTACACTAAAACCCTTTACTCTCACAAACAAGACTTTTGAAGGAATGCACTACCTAACATTATTTGTCATCTTTTGGATCATGATTACCACATTTGGAAAGAAACCCAACTGTTATATACTGAAGTTAGAGGAATGTTTACAGTAGGTACAGAGTCTTGGAAAACTGTTGGTGCCCCTTGAACTATTCAGGGTTTTGTCAACAATAAGTCCAAACTTATTTTATCGGGATTTTAGGTGATGGAGTAACACAAAGAGCGGAATAAGAAAAATCATCCGTTTGTTTTCATCAGTCTTTTCCTCAGATATCCTTAAATGAAAACCAGTGTAACTAGCTACCTTCAGTACACATGTCCAGTTTTTATCTCGGTGGAAAATACAGCTCTTTAGGAAGCGTTAAAGAGCAACAGTGGGCAAGTAGCAAACTAGAGAGCAAGCAAGGATGTTAAGGGAGAAAATCTAGATGCTTAGAGATAATTTTGGTTTTAAAAGAAAAGCTTTCACCATTTCATTGGTCTGAAGACTGAGAATAGAGACAGAAAGGGGAGTATTTATTAGAGAAGCAGACAAGAGGCCCACTCTAGAGGAGCAGCATAGATCCACAGCTCAGGTGGAAGAGTAATTGGACAGCAAACTGACCGTTTGGAGAAGGTTTGTATCATGAATGTATGTTTGCCACAAGTCATTAGGTTGATCCAAAATGAATTGAAATGAATTAAAGGTTTTAGTCTTTGTGCTAAATGTTAAGTGTGTTGGAAACAACACTGCAAATAGTCTAGAGCTCAAGCTCCTCGCTATGAAACATGGTGGTGGCAGCATCATGTTGTGGGAAGGCTTTTTTATTTTTTTAACCAGAGACGAAGAAGGTAGTTGATAAGAAGGTAGACGGAGCACTGTCTGGAAAATACTCAAGATTGAGTTTAAAAACAAATGCACACCAAACATTTCAGTTGTTAGTATTATTATTTTTTTTCATTAATGTACTTTTTTTTGTCCTTTCTCTTTAAAAACATTCATTACTTTATGTGACAAAAGCAAATTAGTTAAATTGGGCATTTGGGTGAATTAATTTTTTTTGCAAATAGATGAATCTGTTTATTTTTTTTTTATGAATTGATTAATAATAGGATAGCAAAAGGTTCCTTGAAGAAGATTTTTTACAGAGATAAACCAGGTGAAGATAAAACTTTTCCACTTGAGGGGCTCTGGATAGAGCATAATGACAAAAGAAAAAGTTGTTTTTTTATTTTAAATACAAAATGTTGATATATTGTTTTACAATTTATATATTTTTATATTTACTTCTCTAAGTGGGTCGCTATATCAGCTAAAGACATGTTTTAGTGTCTGCATACTCCAGTTAACGATTGATCAATTACTAAATTAGTTGACTATTACTTCAATAATCAATTAATCATGATTAATTCAATTGTTTCAGCCCCACTGATAGAATGCTTCAAGTGGTCTCCTTGTTACTTCAACCTAAATAGTAGGAGGGCTGTTTTTTAATTTATTTATTTTTTTATATCTAAAGCAAAATTCTGAGATTATTTTTTGTGGTTGAGCTTCTCTAAGATTATTTTTCCTTGTAATCCATCTGTGGAACATGTTTGGACGGAGACTTAACCAAGCAGACATAGTCAGTCAGTATTTAAATGTTATTTTTTTTTAAATATGAAATCTGAGGGTCACTTAGTGGCCTTTTAATAACATCCAGAGATGCTGGAGTTTCTGTGTTTTATGAGTCTGTTTAACTTTTATTGTGGGGTTAAAAATAAATGTGTTTTTTCCACCTTTTTTTCTTGATCAGACAACTTTAAAACTGAAAAATGATCAACAAATTCAATCTGAAACATGGAGAAAAAGATTGAATTTCAGCTGGCGAGTAAGATGTCTTTGATACATAGAATTAACTTTAATCTTATTTTTTTCCTCTTGATGTAGATAGAAACATACAGATTGTCGTCTTTTAGACTGAACATCACGACTACATATTTTTTTTCTCTTTTAATGACCTGAAAAGGAAAGAGCATAAACCACAGAGTTGTTTTCCTCTCAATTTGGTAGTATTATCCCTGGTAAACCACAGCTTAGTGAAACATGAAGGCATCTAACCGGTATCCTGGAGACGGTTCAGTTTGGAGGAGAAAAATTTCATAAGAATGAAGAATCAAAACAAATAACGAAATTAAAGTCATGCTAGTCTAAAATATTCCCGATTAGGAACTTTTGATCGGCCAGAATAAATAGCAGTAGAGACTGCCCAATTGTTTGTAACACACTTTGAGACTCCTATTCGAAGAAAAAATGAAATAGAAACCTTTCTGTGAGAGAGGATTCATTCTCTAAGGGTATTACTGATATGTAAAACATAGAGATTGTTAATGGAGCTGATGTTTTAAACGTGATAAATGATCTATTCCAAAAACCTGCCAAATTCCATGTGAAAGCAGTAATTTTCCTGGATTCTCTTAATCCATCCTGTTGTTTGCTTTAGGGCCTTTTTAAAAATAGATTCCTTTCAAATTCTAACATGCATCTTTGTGCGTCAGCTGACGTTGAATCTTCTTCACTTGGTAACAGCATCCAAACTCAAATCTGATCTATTAGCCCATATCCATTTTTATTATTTATTTTTTCATGGCAGTCTGATCAGCCGAGTTCCAATTTAACATTAAAGACAATTAAAGTTTTTCTTTCCTTATTTTGTTTTATTTTTATGATGTGGTCATGATCCTGTCGGCTCCCAATGCTTAAAGGTATAGTGGAGGATGTTCTTTTTCCAGGTGAATCATCTAAATAAGTGGTCCTCCTGTTAGTCAATCATTCTGGTGATATATTTACATAAGGCAGTCCTACGTGCTTATGCCCATTTTCACATAGCGGTAATGAGTCTGATATAGAGGAAAAATTGCAAATCTTCTTTTGGATAGTAAGCTTGTATGAGCGATGCAAACAGCAACTTTTAAACAGAGTGTGCAAGAGGAGAAATGGGCTTATGCAGGCTCATGCATGCATTTAAAAGCAGTTCCCTCTTGGGAGCAGGTACAGGGTTGTGCATGTGCATTTTTTTTAAAGTGGAGAATTTTCAAAAATTCTAATAGTATAGTAATACACAGCATTTGATTTTATAATATCTCTATTGGGTAAACTATAAACTAATTAACCCATTATAAGTTATATTAAACAATAGAGCAGGGCTGTATAAAAATCCAACAATACAATTGCTGCATTGCATAGTTTCAATATTTTCTCAAAGTTTAGTTTCACATTGAAGGTCTATTCCCTTCTTAAGCATCTGTTTAAATAAAAGATAAAAAAAATGAAAGAAAAAAAAAAAAAAAATGTGTATTCTCTGAAAAAAGGATGGATTAATTATGACGCCTTTTTTCTATCAATGTATTGACTTTTAAAGCTAATTAGCTCTGCTGGTTAAAATGGCAAATATGCTTAAATAAAAATAAAAAATAAAGTTCATGCTACTGTTTCCTGGTAACATTTGTTTAAGACACCTCTCCCAAAGTTAGGGAAATTTGCTGTTTCTCAAAGAATGTTTAAAATAATTTTATTCCCTGCAGATTATAAGCAGGAAATTCTTTAGGACGTAATTTCAAGCTTTTTAACCAGATGAACCCATCATTTTGGGTAGATGTTGGTTAAATAGAGGGTTCTGTATCCATTACGTTGATTCAACATTTTTGGAGTTTTTCCAAATTTTGTGAATTTCTTTGTTCATTTTTATGTATTAATAACGAAATCTATTTGATTTTACTGTTGAATTAATTATAATCAATGTTCGTGAGTGAACATTTCCCTATTTGTGAGGACCTCGCTATAAGAAATCACCACTTTTTTGGTATTCTAGAACTTTTTACCCTTTTTTTCTACTTTGCCTAAAGACTGATTATCACATATGTATGGAGGCCATTTTAATGCTGCACTTAATTTAAATCTGCTGGAATTATCATAGAAATCTATTTTTGTGAAATAGAAATAAAATGATAAAAAAGGCTCTCTCATTCTATCTCAAAGCATCACTCCCTCTTTTTTCCAAGTTTGTTACTCCTTACTGAACTTACAATGATAAATAAAAGCAATAAATTGGACTAAAAATTTGTTTCAAAATTTCATTAGTTCTTCCTGTATCTGCTGTATTTTGGATCATCAGCAGAGCATTAAGATGCACATTGCAGAGATGGCTAAACCAAAGCCTGCATTCCAGCAGAGCAAGCCTTTACTTTACATAAATGAATAATTTAAATGGCGTGTAAACACTTTCAGCAGGAACTCTGCATCATCTCTGGCTTACAGCGTAATCATCTAAGACACTATGAGCAAAAGAAAACAATTGAAATGTAAGACTGACCACTTTTAAAATGTAAATGGTCTCATATTTAACTGTTTTATGTAAATTCCTGTTAATTATTCCAAAACCTGTTACCAATTTTCAATTCTTGTGGTTATCTAAGATTGCATTGAGACATAAAGAAGTCTCCTTTTAGTAAAATTGTTTTGAATCTAATGGAGAAGTTTGGTCATAAAAGTAAACACTTTTTATTAGGTGTCACTGCACACCTGAATTATATTCATACTGTTGATGCAAAGCAGCTATTTTTACTGTCCCGTAGAATGGAGCTATTTTCATTCATTCAAATATGTCAATAGAACGAGAATGAAGATATTTCACCCTTTCCATCCATAACCATGTCAGATCCTGTGTGCGCCAGCAAACCGGATGATAAGATAAACTACATGATGATCAGATCAGCTGAGGCCTAAGAAGACTGAAGCTGATAATTCATCTGGCATAGCCTTGTTTTCTGGCTTAACTCAGATAATGCTGCAAATCTGGAGTCTATATGGTTCAAATAAAGCAAAATCCCATTACAGAGCTTATGAAAAAACCCCCCCTTTTTTTTATTCCCAGGACCCCAGCTACTGGGTTCAGGTCCACCGGCTGGAGCATGGAGATGGGGGCATTTTGGACATCGATGATATGCTATGTGACGTAGTAGATGACAAAGACCGGGTAAGTTCAACTCCATTTTTTGTATGCAAATACTCTGTGTTTTATTTCTTTAGTCTCTGTCTCTGAACTTTCTTTATTTTCTCCTTTTCATGTAATTGTGAAAGATTTCTGAGCTGCATTCATGAAAGGGTGGCACTAAAAAGCACTGGTCTCTGTCAGACCTCAAACCCCTGCTAACTGAGCCCCACCTTGTTTTTGGTTTAATTATTTCCACCTGTTTGAAGCTTCCTATTAGTGGAATGTTTTATGAGGCTGTATAATGTGCCGTGTTACTTTCAAGGCCCTAATTTGATATGTTTGTGTGGTTTTACCTTCCCATTTGTGGTGGAAACATGATGTTGGAACCATCAGGATATCCCACTACCAACCCTTTCACTGCCAAGTGTGGGTGGTCATCCGTGATACCACTACATTCTTCTCATGGGAGCAGGACTGACTAAACTTGAGTCCCGGCTTGTTGGCTTTAATGTTGGGCCAACTGGTTAGTTATGCCCGGATCTGAGTGTTTCGGTGGTTAACCTGAGCATTGGGTATTTAAAACTTTAAATAGCTCCAGTCAGAGCTATTTAATTTGTCATATTGTGTGAATTTGAAATACCCTGCTTTAGGTTTGGCATTGGAGAATCTTCAAGTAAGTCATATATAAAGATCTTTTATTTTTGTTGGTGTTTAAAATTATTTTGCTTTTAGGTAAGAGATGGATGAATAAAAGGTTTGGCTAATTTCCGATCTGTGTGTTTTCTAAAGCTCCGACCTGCCTATCTCACCCATTGACAGCTGGAGATAGGCACCGGCACCCCTTGCGATCCCAGCAGGGATAAGCGTGTCAGAAAATGGATTGATAGATGGATGGGTCGATGACCTACCTATATGGATCTTAGCTTTTTCCAAATGAAAATTTCAGCATTTTCTAAAAGGGGATAAAAGAGCAACATGCATTACTCTCTTAAGCCTTCCTGTTATCAACTAAAACTACTGCTCTCTAGCCTTCTTACAGCCAAGTGATACTAATACTAATACTAATAGCTAACTTTGTATCCTCTTCCTGAAGTTACAAAGGCCTATGGTCTCCACTTAGGACCATTCTGGCTAAAAAATATTGACCAAATCAGGTCACCATCTTATTTTCTCTGCACATTTCAAGTTATAGCTGGTTATGGTTAGTTTATATTTTTGTTGCACTTATATAAGCGTTTTTTTACCTATTCAAAGGCAGGATCGGCAAAAAGTGTATTACTTTTATTTTAAAAATTGAAAGATGTTTACTAGACACATGCTTTTAGGTTTAAAATGGCATTTGGCCTGAGTCAGAGGGGGGACCAGAAAAAGGCTAAGCATGTTCCTCCCAACACCTGATAATAACTGGTAGCTGCCATGGTTACACATGGGGTTGGATCATAGAGGATAACAGCTGGTTTGCACCTGCTGCCACATACACACCTTTTCTAATCTCCACAGCTTCTTTGTCTCCTCTGAGCTCCCCTCAGTGGTATTTAGAAACCTGATAACTGTGTGAGGAAAAAGAAGAAAGTTAGAATGAATTTAGCATTTTCTGCAAGCATAGAGTGAGTTCTACATAATCTTATTTTCCTTTTCTTTTACCAGTCTAATCTTGATGCTGTATGCACTCCCTCTAGTGGTACTGTAACCACATTACAATCTAGCCCTTCACACCATAAATAATGTGCATGATTGTAAACATTTAGACCTATCTCACTTGCTCTTTTCATTAGTTTAATATCTTTCATATTAAGTTAGTTGTATATATTGGTCATAATGAAACATTTAAATCTCAAATTTTACAAGGCCATTTAAAAAAGTGACATTTCTGTGGTATGTGTGGCTTTCTGTAGTGATATGTTGTTGGTAGTTGCAGTATTGCAGAGTGCAGAGTTCAGCAGGAGTATATCTGGGTCAGCCAGCTTTGTTCAGGTGAAATAGCTCAACGGGTGTGAGTGTGTGTAGGCTGGGATGCGTACAGGTGTGTGTGTGCAGGAGTTCGTCTGACTGCGTGGGTGTTTGCCTCTGTGTGCATACAGTTGTAGAGGTAAAGCCAGTCTGTCCAGTTATTTTCATAAGCCATTGCCTCCTTTCCTGTTTCGCTGTTGAAACTCTTGACAAGCAAGAACAAATTCAAGCTGTTAACTTTAAGTGAGGAAAAACAGTAGTATACGGCACCAAGTAATACTGCCACAGGCTCCTTGTTCTGTGCAGTAATATATAATGAAATATATAGGGACCGTTTCCCTCTTTGACATATGTAACACTTATTATACGTAGTTGTCCAATTTAATAGACTGAATAAACTCACGCAGTTCCTAAGCTAAGTAATCATTTTTTACGCCATTTCCAGGAATTTGCACCACTTTGGTGTTTTATTGTCTGAGCTCCACTCCATGGTATTCAGAAACCTGACAACTGTGTGAAGGAAAGGAAGAAAGTAAGAATGCAACTGACAGGTTCAGTAAAGACAGAGTTACTTATACATACTCTTCATTTTTAGCTTAGACTTAAAGTTGAGCTTAGGGCTCATTTACTCAACTGTTTTGTTGTTTTTTTTCTTAGACAGGGCCGCTTATGAAGCTAGTTTACTGTTAACTTCTAACATAGAAGGTATTTATATGTTAGTGCTTCTATGTTGCTTTTGAATGTCTGCTGAGGCCAACTGGGGGTTCTGGAGAGAGAAACATAAGGCCGCTAAGACTGTGCTCCTGGAGGTTACAGGATGTTTTCCTCCCCACTATCACTGTATGACTGCTCAGTGTGAGTGATCACTGCAGAGTGAACAATAGAAGTGGATACATGCTGCAAAGTCAATAAGCGGGTATCCTGAAACAGAAACATTTTAAACAGTCTGTCTAAATGATTTGATGGAACTGTCTCTGTGAAGTGCCTTGAGGTGATGCATTGTTGATTGGCACTATATAAATGAACAGAAATTAATTTAATAAGTTTAACCAGCAAAGTTTAGTTTAAAGTTTATCCAAATGTACAACTATTAAAATATCTCCTAGGAGTAGCCATAATTGTATTGAAGGCTGTCAGTTTTTCCCTGTGTTTGCTCTTTCTTTGAAGAGGTATGATCCAGAGTGTATTATTAACTAACAAACATGCGTACACCGCTGTTAAAATCATATTAATATTAATTATGGATCTTCTTTGCACTGTTTATGTTTTTCTGTGAATTTAGTTTGAAGAGTCACAAGGTTTTTATTAGTATGCATTTCAGTAAATGATGTCATTTTAACAGATTGCGGAATAGTTTCTTAAGCCATCGAATATCATTTGAGTTATGAGTGTCATGGTTTTGGTTCTGTTTAAGGTTTCTTTTTGAGTTTTCATTGGTTTTATTTCACTTTTGTTTTATTCTATTTTTTTTTTGTATTTGAGTTCTTATGTATTTCTTGTTTACCCACTGTTGCCCTCTTGTGTCAGTCTCCTTTCCTAGCTCCCTTCCAGGCCTTCTTTCCACACCTGTTCCTCGTCTGCCAATTAGTCCTCCCTTTGTTTTCTATATTTACACCTCTTTGCTGGTTCATTCATGCTGGTTCATTTTTTTTGGCTCATCTTGTGTGTTTTCTCTGTTGCCTCTGGGTATTTTGTTATTTTGGATTTTTGCTTCTGTTGCCACATTTTTGGAATTAAATAAAATCTGCAAGAAACCGCGTCAGCATTTGGGTCCTCTTCAAACCTCCACTCAACCTTACAAGGAGGGGTTCAGTCTTAATGTACATTTGAGGTTTAATGATTCTTACTGTAGCCTATAATGGCCTGTTATAGTTATTATCTCCATGATTTTATTAATGGTCTTGTTTGTATTGTACCATTTGTTTTTTCCATGCATATTACTAAAACTCCTTCTGATTGAGTTACCATAATGAAGTGTTGCACTTCCTTCAGTCTGCAGTCCTTCTACTGTAGCTTATCTGAACAACCTCTTCCTTTCCGACAGCTTAAAGATGCCATACTTTTCCTTAGATATGTGAATTGATGCAGCGGTACAGGTTTTACTGAAAGTTGGTGCATTGTGGCCTTATTAAAAACCTACCAGTCAGATAGAAATGGTGGGATGTAGCATTTCTGCAGAAAGCATCGCTGTGATAAGGCCACCAACCCTTTCCATTAGTTGTTTTGACTCCAAATGCCCTCAAAGGACCATAATGTGTTCTTCTGTATGCTTAAGAAGTGTTGCTGCAGGTGTGCATGGTCAGTAAACAGTCAGAGGAGGAATTTCTTTGGAGGGGACATTTTTTATTTTGTTGAAGGGTAGATTTTATCTTTATTAAATAAATATAAAACCAATAGAACCGATGATGGTGGCATATTATATCTAAAGTATGGTTTTATAGATTTTACAGAAAGTCTGGAGAGAAGCTTTAACATATTAACAATTTGTTTCTACATTTTAGACTGATTCTTCCTAAACTGACAGCTATTGTTATGTTGATCATATCTCAGTGGAAAACAATGACATCAGTGTTACCTGCACTATGGGTAGCTCAGAAAGATTCCTAGGTTGGTGATGTGTGAGTGCCACTGTGTTTGAGATATTTGGCTCCGGTTCAGCAGTTGTACAATGAGGTATGATTCAGTCACAGATCTGCTGCGAGCTGCAGCATGTCCGTTTCTGCTCCACAGAGTGTCGCTCTGATGATCTAACTTCCATATCACATGACTGAAAATGTGAATGTTTGTTGCATGGCTGGGTGGATTTTTGGTTTTTGTTTAAAATCTGACCCTGCTGCTGTTTCCAAGTTTGGTTCCAGTGAATCTAATCATGTCAGGATAAGACATCTCATGTGTTTGCTTTGATCTCAGATGTTAGATATCAGTATTTATTTATTTACCGACATCCTCCCTATTCTAAAAGAAGATATTGGATTGAAAATCTTGCCTTTCCACCTAATTTTTCTACATAAATGTGTGTTTGTATTTGAAACTATACCACTGTGATCCTGCACTGCCACCAACTGACCATTTGGTAAAGGTTGAGCTAGGCG